AGACCAGAGAAGCCTCAGGGGATTCTGATGCATACTAACATAGGGTCTCCCACTGAATCATAAACTCTTTGAGAGTAGAGAAGATCTCTGGTTCAACATTGCATCCTGATGCTGACCCAGATCATGACAGAGAGTAGTTCCTTAGTCACTCATGAATGAATAATTGAATGAATTAATGAATTCTTAAAAGGTAGATATTTTTAAGTCACCATGTCAATCTACTCTTATCTTGACACAATGAGTTTTTGCTTCCAACTAATGAAGATACTATGTGTTTTAACAAGTAAGTTTTGATTATATTTAAAGTAATGTGGACATGATGGAAACCTAGAACCAGAACCTGTAGACCAACTTCAGGTCTTACTGTTACCAGCAATGAGGATGTACCCTCCATGCCCTTATCCCCAAAATGAAGGAATTTGAGCAGGTATGCTCTGTGCTTCCCTTCTATTGCTAAATATTTAGTTTTCATATTTTTAAATGTTTGAAAATAAAGGCAGTGCCTGTTACTTAAATGTTTTTGTATACTTTTACTTAATCTGTATTTCTTGAAAGCACAGGTTTTACTTTTTCAAAAAATGAGGATACATGAAGTCAAGAAACAACAGAGTATTTCAGAAAAATACATGTTTTTATCAAATAGTTTAGTGGTGGTCAACCCTCCATCTAAGCATTCTAGTAATACCATAATTTGGGAAGAGAAAATCACCATTTAGCTATCATCATAGTTAAGATTGTTCAGGCAAGAATCATCAGTGGATGCTAAACTGAGAGAGGGAAGTTTAATGAGGAGTAGAATAATTGTATGGTCTCAAAGTGTCTCCCTAGAGACTGCTTTTAAGTTGCAACCAGGAAATCTAACATGTTGACCAGGTGATTAAAATTGACATTACCCAAGAAACACAAGTGGACATTGTATACCTCCAAATGTGATACCCATAGAAAGACACAATATCATTTTGTACTATTCTGACTGGGTATGCTTAACCAAAATCTAATCATGTAGAAATATCAGACAAACCCAAATTGAGGTAGATTCTATAAAATATCTATCTCACACTCTTCAAAAATGCCAATGCCATGGAAGACAAAAAAAGGCTGAGGAACTGTTTTAGAGCAACAGAAACTGAAGAGACATGACAACTACATGCAATACATTATCTTACACTGGAGGAAAAAATACTAAAAGGACCTTATCAAGACAACTGACAAAATTGGAATCAGAACTATAGTTTAGACCATAGTATTGTATCAGTATTAAAGTCAATACATTTGATAAATATATTGTGTTACATAAGATAATTATTGATCTTAGGAAATGTGCATGGAATTAAGAAGGGCTAATGAGGCATGATGTGTACAACTTACTCACAAATGATTCCAAAAGAATAACTAATAAGTGTGTGTGTGTGTGTTATCTGTCTATACCTGTCAATACTACACTAACACACACACACACACACACACACACACACACACACACACACAGGAGAGCATTATATATGTGGTCAAAAAGTTTAAAATTGGTTGGCAAATATGGGTAAAGGGCAATTGAGAGTCCTTGATATTATTCTTATAACTTTTCCATAAATTTAAATTATTGCCAATAGAAAGCTGGGCTTTTTATTTTGTTTTCTTTTTTAATATACAGTTCCCACTTCTGGATAGATTTAACTTTAAAATATATTTGAAAGCAATTAAGTAATTCAAAAGATAGAGCAAAAAATATTAGGGGTGCCTGGATGGCTCAGTCATTTGAACGTCTGACTCTTGGTTTTGGCTCAGGTTATGATTTCATGGTTCTTGGATTCAAGCCCCACATCTGGCTCTGTGTTGACAGTATGGAGCCTGCTGGGAATTCTGTCTCTCTGTACCTCCCCTACTCTCTCTCTCTCTCTCTCAAAATAATAAGCCATCTTAAAAATATGAAATCATGATTACTGTTCATTAATTTTGTGACTCTACAAACAAACACTGAGCTATCCAATATATGTTTTTTCATTTGGAAATGGCAATTGTGATATCAATTCACTTTGTGTATTATGGTGGGAGGCAGTGGAGTGAGGTAGAAAGAACTGTGAGAGCTGCAAGGTATGGTTTATAAACACTGATTTGCTGTGTGATCATGAACAGTTCATTTCACCTGCCCAAGAATCCATTTCTTCATCAACAAAATAAGATTAGATATGAGTTTGTTGAAAGTCTCTCCTCCTACAATTCTGAGTTATAGTTTAAGAAATAAAATGTGAAAATCTAAGAATTAAGAACTGTATCAGCAGAATTAAAGAGTTAACCAAAGTTAAAGATAGAAAAATTTCTTTACACATCTGTACAGTCTTGGTTTCTTAAGTAAATGGAAACTTAGAGCACTTCAATAAAAGAACAGAGCAATATTTGCCAAGAAACAGAACAAAATTTGAACTTTCTCTAAGGATATCCATGAATTTGACAGGCTGATTATATTTATGTTTCAAAGAGAAATGTAGCCAGGAGTGCCTGGCTGGCTCAGTCCAAAGAGCATATGACTCTTGACCTGGGGTTGTGAGTTTGAGCACCACATTGGGCATAGACTTTACTAGAAAAAATAAATAAACTTTTTAAAAATGTAGCCAAAGATCTGTGAGATACACTGAAACATTACTTCTCCTACCTGCTACAGCAAATGAATTATTGTTTTTTACAATCAAATTAGATTGAAGACTTTAGAGAAGTATAGTCATACCCCCATGGACTATACTTATAAAGGTAACAAGTTGCACCATCATCACTTTCCCAAAATGGTCTTAATTTTCTAATGCTTTTGGTTCTATATGAGCCATACTTTCTGACAACAAAGAATCAGGGAAATAAATTATTTGTTCCCTAACAATGATTAAACTAGAAGAGACCATGGTAGGTGTGTCATAAATATTGTTAACTTAAAATAGCAAGCAATAAAAATAGAAGAAAGAAAGAAAGAAAGAAAGAAAGAAAGAAAGAAAGAAAGAAAGAGAAAGTAAGAAAAAGATAGATGAAGGAAGGAAGGAAAGTAGGAAGGAAGGAAGGAAGGAAGGAGGGAGGGAGGGAAGTGAAAAGAAGGAGGAAGGAAGGGAGGGAGGAAGGGAGGAAGGAAGGAAGAGAAGAAAAGAATCAGGATGACACAGTACCTGGAAAAGTTTTCAATGGTGAAGCCAGCTGGCTTCTATTTAGGTGACTTTCAACTAAACTGTCTAGGCTTTTGTAATGTGGTACAGCAAGTGGGGACAAAGATAATTTTGAATTTTTTGTTAAATGTGCAGTAAGATACAATCTTCTATTTGTCCAATCGACAAATAGTTATTGAGTACTTCTTCCATGTCAAGCACATACTGAAAATGATGCATTCTCTCACAGAGTTTATATTCTGGTGGAGGAAGATAGATACTAATGAAACATAAGTAGACATCACTGTAACAAGTGATGACTGGGGGTGGTTACTTTAATTCATCAAAGAAAGTTTCTTTGATAACATTTAGGCTATGATCTAAGTAACATGAAACACAGTAAAGAAAACATCCCAGCCCAACTAGTACAAAGGCTCCAAGGTAAGAATGTACTTGCTAAATTAGCAGAATAGAATGAAAGCTAAATGGCTGAAACATAGTAGAGAAGGGAGGAAAGACATGATGAGTTTTCAGAGGGAGAAGAGGCATAAGAGATTTGTATTCTACTCTAAGGGTTACAGGCAGCCCTTGAAATGTTTTAATCAGGAAAGTGGTGAGATCCAATTTTCCTTTAAAAGTATGATTTGTATTGCTGTGTGTGGGAGGAAGCCATTGTAATAATCTAGGCAGGAGATCTTGGGGCTTAGAGGAAGGTATTGTCACGGATATGCAAAGAGATGGAACTTTGAAACAAAGAGTCCATGGGACCTGCTGATGGATTGGAGGATGGTGGGTAAGTGGGAAAAAAAGGAATGGAATCAAAGATAACTTGTAAAGTTCTCTGGATGGATGTGTGTGGGGGGAGGGGGGGAGAATATACTAGAATGAGGAAGACTGGAAGAGGGGTAGTTTGAGGGAATGGAAATTAAGAGATTTGTTTTGGGCTTAATTTTAAGATTCGTATTAGACAAGTCAAGGAGAGATGTCACATAGACAGTCAGGTATACGATTTTGAAATTCTGAGAGTACACAGGGGCTAGAGTTAAGAGCATTTGATGACATTTGAAGCTAGCTATAGGACTGGACAAATCACCTAAGGAGACAATGTAGTTGGAGAAGAGAAATGGCTCCAGCTCTCAGATGGAACATAAGAGGAAGAGCCAACCCAGAAGCCTGAGAATATGGGGCCAGTGAAATAATAAGAAAAAAGGAAGAGCATGGTGTCATAGAAGATGAGAAGTATTCTGGGACACCCGGGTAGCTCAGTCAAGCATCCGACTTTAACTCAAGTCATGATCTTATGGTACATGAGTTTGAGCCCTGCATAGGCCTCTGTGTTGTCAGCACCGAGCTGCTTTGGATCCTGGGTCCCTCTCGCTGTCTGTCACTCCCCCGCTTGTGTGCATGCATGCTCGCTCGCTCTCTCTCTCTCTCTCTCTCTCTCAAAACTAAACATTAAAAAAATTTTGTAAAAGTGTGCTGCTGAAGAGTGTCACTTGTGAAGAGTGCTGCTTCACGCTTTGGTAGATGAGAGTCTGGGGCCAGCAACACGGAAACCATTGAGGATCCTTAACATTTTTCTTTTCTTTTAAAAATTGTTTTTGAAAATAGTTGACACACAATGTTACATTAGTTTCAGGTGTATAACATAGTGATTCAACTTCTCTATATGTTGTGCTCTGCTCACCACAGTGTAGCTACCATCCGTCACCCTATGAGGCTGTTAAAATATCTCTGACCATATTCCCTGCTATTTCTTTGTACAAGAGCAGTCTTAATGGAATGGCAGAGACTGAAGTCTGAAGAGAATGGCTTGGGAAGAGAATATGTGATGAAAAGGCAGATGGAGAGAATATAAAAAATTATTTTCAGCCATTTTGCAGTGGATGGAGCAATAGGGGATAGCAGCAGGAAGATGTGGAGGTAGGGGAGTTTGCTTCTTTATTTGTTTTTCTTAAAAGTATTGCTGTGGGGCGCCTGGGTGGCTCTGTCTGTTTAGAGTCTAGCTCTTGATTTCAGCTCAGATCATGATCCAGGGTCATGAGATCAAGCGTTGTATTAGGCTCCATGCTGGGTATGGAGCCTGCTTAAGATATTTTTCTCCCTCTCCCTCTCCCTCTCCCTCTCCCTCCCTCCCTCCCTCTCTCTCTCTTTCTCTCCCTCCCTCCCTCCCTCTTTCCTTCTTTCCCTATTTCCCTCTTCCCCTCTTCCCCACTCTCTCTCTCTCAAATAAAATTTTAAAAAGGTTTTGCTAGATGAGTGTGCACATCAATAGGATTAAGCAAGAGAGGAAGAGGTGATATGGAAAGGTCACAATTCTAAGAGTACAGTCATTGAGAGGATAGAGATGTGGGATCCAGACACAAGGTTTAAACTTTGAAAGCCAAGGGATGTTCCAGGAGGCTGCTTGTGTAATGACCTCACCTCTTCTCTTAATTTATGTGCCACTGCATAGATTATTTCATTTGATTCTCACATAATTCCCATGTATCCAATCATTTCCATTTTCAGAGGAGAAAAATAAAGTTTAGAGAAGTTGGATAATTTCTCCCAGAATCTTCAGTTAGTAGATAATAAATCCGGAATTCAAATCTTTCTTGCAACTCTAACCTGAAGCCTCTTTTCACTACAAAATACCTTGATGAAGCCACCTTTTTAAAGCTCTTTTCAAAGCAACATGACAAATGTTCACAGTGTACCAGATGCAAGAAATACAGTTGCTTTGATGCCATTATTCCCATTTGGAAACTTAGTGATCAGCAAATTGTTTGGTAATTTCAAGTTGGAAATTCCTGGAATCCACTAATATGGTAGTTTAATATCCACATCATTGTTTTCTAAATTGAATGACTGCTGGAATATAACAGGGCCACACTTACAGTTGCAACTAATTAGCTAGTGAAGTAGATCTAAAATCTAATGCCTTTCTCAACACATTTGGTTCATATACTTGCTAACCAGAAATTGCAATTCATTTTGTTACCATCTTAAATGGAGTTCTATGCAGTGAAAAAGCAGTAAAGTTAAATACCTGATTATTAAATTTTAAAAAAAGTTAAGGTGGGGGAAATACAAATCCCAATCAAATTGTGGTGCAATACAAAGGAATTGAATTTAACAGCAGATGTCCTGGGTTCAAGTCTTAGATATAGTAAACTCTCTTGGAGATCTCTTTCAAGTTGTTTGATTTTTTGATTTCCTCATTAGTAAAATGAAGGTAATAATACTTAGGCAAAAGAGTTGTGAGAAACAACTAGGATAATCCAATGAGATAACTTTAACCTTTAGCGTGTTTTTTAAATTTATTTTGAGAGATAGAGTGCGAGCAGGCACAGGGCAGGGAGAGAGGGAGACATAAAATCTGAAGCAGGTTGCAGGCTCCAAGCTGTCAGTGCAGATCCTGAAGTGGGTCCCAAACCCAGGAACCATGAGATCATGACCTGAGCTGAAGTTGGATGATTAACTGACTGAGCCATCCAGGTGCCTCACAAAGAGATAACTTTATAAACTGGGAGTACTTGTTGGTTGCTATTATTATTTATATGATACTACATGGTGTGCTTTCTCTTGTATTTCTGAACAAGCATTGTGCACCAAATTCATTCTCCGTTTTGATAATGATGACTATGCCTTATGAGTACTTGCATAAAAGAAAAGAAAATCGCCTGCATAGGAACACCTCTCATTCTGCCTATTCTAAAAAACAAATTTCTTGAAACTGCATCAGTCACATTTTCCCACAGAAGCATGTCCATTATTGCTACCATAGTACTCACTTCAGCCACGTACTCATTTGAATAACAAATGTGCATTGAGGGCCTATTATATCCCAGGCTCTGAAGGAACTAGACATGAGGATAGTAAAAGGATTGTGACACATTTCCACTTCTCCAGTAGTTCTCAGTATAATACAAGACTGTCTCCTCTGTATATAGTTGTTTATCTATACATCCCTCCTCTCCACGTTCTACTTCTGCCTCCAGTTATGAGCTCCAGAATGCTGAGACCCTGTCTTGGTCATCTTTAGCTTTCTTTATTTTGCTGATTACAATTTGTTGCTCATAGTAGGTGTTCAATGCATAATTATTGAAGAAATATTTTTAGTGTGTTTTTGAAAATATCAAGGTATACTAGTGGACTAACAAGCAAGATGTGTTTTTCTCATAATGTTTCTCTGGTTACATTTAACTGCAAGTTAAAATTAGATCCTTTTCTTTTTTTTTTAAGAAAGAAAACCATAGCAACTGTGATGTTGAATGTTTCACAGAGCACATTTTTAAGGATTTTTCTTTTTCTGAATTGCTTATGTTTGAGCTGCCTATTTCAATCAAAATTCTAATAAATAATTTGTGGTACTAATAGCCATATAAACCACCAATTGTATTGATGAAGCAATGGAAACGCCCACATAGAAAAGAATGCTTGATAAAATATTTGAAGAAAAAAATAAACATGTTGAAAATCCACTGGATATATTTAAATGGTTACTCCCTAGAAATGGTTGAACATTAACCTCTCTTTGTTTCTTATATTTGTATTTATTATAAAATCTTGGAGTTGTTCTAATATTTCATTTACGTATTTGCTGGAGATCTTTTTTAAGATATGTGTCTATGAGAAAATCAATTTTACAGTTACTGTCTTCTAAATTAAAGAATGGACATTTTTACAGAATGTTATCAGTGAATACTTCTTTGACATACATAATGATTGTCTAATAGTTTTCTCTAAAAGTATTTTTATTGAAGTAATGATTAAAGTGTAACTCAGTGCCTCAGGAACACTGACTAATGTCATGTTAATCAACTTGACTACTAAAAAAAAATGAAGAGGTTGATAGTTTAAATCTAGTTGGTACATGATTCACTTGAACTATCAAAGAAGAAAATGTACTTTATCCAGGACCAAATTTAAAATAATTTTTTTTTAAATCTAGCAAAACATCTCAGAAACTACTTTTGCAAAGTTACAGGCCATATCCTTATAAAAATCCAATTTTGTTTCTCTTAAAATGTGTAAATTAGCCTTTGATTCACAGCATCCATATTGATCAACATCTATTGAATGCCTACTCTATGCAAAGTGCTGAACTAATGTGAAGATAAGTAAAGCATATTTCTGCTTTTAGGGAGCTCATTGGAAGAAATAAGTCATTCACGCATAACTGCAATGTAGAAAATAAGTGATACAAATGTTTTAGGCAGTCTGAGGAAGGAGAGATGGATAATTTCTAGCTAGGTTTGGGCAGGTAGAATGAGGTGGGAACAGGAAGATGGAGAATTCTTAGCAGACAGACTAAAAATGAATATCTTTTGGAAGTAACAAGTTCAGCTTGACTTAAGAGCAGTTTATAGAAGGAGTGCTAAATAAGTCTGGAAACACACATTGGGCTAGGTGGTGAAAGGCCTTGAATTCCAGATTATTTAAATGGAGTTTTATAATATTTTTAAAAAGCTATAAATGAGCAGTTGCATAACCCTTCTGGAGATATGCAACAATTTTTTATAAAGAATAGGCTCTAAATCTTAAAGTCACCTGATTTGTAACCAACACTGAAAAATATTGATTAAGCTGTACCATACGTTATCAGCCTGAACATTTAGGCCTTTTTCAGACATTCAGATATTTATTCTGGTTTTTTGAGGGGGGCTGGATTATTATTTCTTGTATAAGTTTGGAATAGTTGAACTTCCAGATGTTTAAAAACGAAATATCTACCCTCTGATTTATTCCTTCGGAGTGTTTTTTTTCTTCATTTTATTATTGTTTCTTGTACAAAATTGCACTGAAGACCAAAATTATGATTTCTGTAAATGGTTTAAGGACTGATGCAGACATATTCAGATTCCTGTTTCTTTCGAGCAATAAAACTTTCCATCTTGCAATGAAAAAGGGCCTGGGAAGGAATATTGGAGTGGGCACTTTGAAGGAAAAATAGTCAGGGGCGGGGGGAGAAAGCAGGGGAGAGAAAGGAAAGGAGAGCAATTATCTTCTAGAAGAAATGGTCATAAAGATAAGTTTACACATGTATATGTGTTCAAGAAATGTGAAATAAATGCAGAAGAGATAGGTAATGCTGCTGTATATGCTAAAAATGTTACTAACTACAACCAACCATAGATATTATGATACATTTTAATCATAGGTTCTTGAAAGTAGAGAGCTTAGAAAAGATACATGGAAGATACAATGAAATTTTGGAGTAGGTCACCCACAAGCAATCCCTGTTTATATTTTGCAGTCTATTGTAAGAATGAATATTAATCCTTAAAATCAAATATTTTGAATTAAAACAAGTGTCAACAGCCACATCTCTTTTGCTTCACAAATAGCATTAGATGAAGAAGGGAACATTAAGTATAATTTCTATAATATTCATTAGAATCCATTTGTATTCAGAACTTAGCCACATTGTGATTTATAAATTTTACTCAAAATTTCATACAACATTTACAAAAACTATATAATGCGAGTACCTGGGTGGCTCAGTCAGTTAAGTGCCTACCTCAGCTCAGGTCATGATCTTGCAGCTCATGAGTTTCAGCCCCACATTGGGCTCTGTGCTGACAGCTCAGAGTCTGGAGCCTGCTTCAGATTCTGTCTCCCTCTCTCTCTCTCTGCCCCTCCCCCACTCATGCTCTGTCTCTCTGTCTCTCAAAGATGAATACACATTAAACTAAATAAATAAATAAACTATAGAATGCTTATCTGGGGTATTGGAGTTGTGCTACTTCCATTTCTACATCTTGCTACTGAAAGAAACTTTTTAGTATAGTTGTATATTTCTAGTGTTCATCTACCAAAGATCCTAATTCAAGGACTGAAGCTAACTTTTACTCAACCCAAATCATATGTGGCACAAAAGCAAACATAAGATAGAGTGATGGCCAACACAGTTTTCCCCTCACCACTCTGACTAGCCACATCAGTGGCCCAAAAAATATATTGGATGCCATCCATGATTCCAAGAGAAGAAAGACAACAGAGCCTTGTACAAAGTAATGCTGTGTTAATGGGGCCTATGATTCCCAGTCATGGAGATCTCCTTAATATTGAGCATAATACAGACTGGCAAAATTTTATTTTTTTAGGTATTTTTCCCCATAGACACACAACTCTAATATTGTCAGTATAGCTCTTCAGGAGAAATATTCTAAACTTTTAAACTTTTACAAATTAACATTCAAGACTGCAATTACTGGAATTATTGAAACTTGATTTTTCCTATGAGATAATGTGGACCATCACAGTAGGGTTTTTGATATGTCCGTGTTTCACCTAAGCCCTTTCTGATGACACAAATGTGTAATGGTAGGGAGAAGAAAAGTACCCCAAAGGTTACAGCTATATATACAGTTTTGGTTTGTCCTTTACTTTCCTTGAGAATTACTGATCAGGGGCACCTGGGTGGCTCAGTTGGTTAAGCACATCCAACTTTGGCTCAGGTCAGGCTCAGATTATATCTCATGATTTGTGTGCTCTAGTCCTGCATCAGTCTCTGTGCTGACAGCTCTGAGCCTGCTTTGGATTCTGTCTCCCTCTCTCTCTGCATCTCCCCTGCTGGCACTCTGTCTCTCCAAAAATCATTTAATCATTTATTCATTACCAGGTCAGAGTTCAGGATGTTGTAAAACTTTTCTATAGGCAAACTACTATCTTCAAACAAAAGAAAATAATCAACAACTTTAATAAAATTATTAAGTTTTGAAAAGAAACTCAAGACTTTATCTTCAGCTAGGTACTGTCCTTGTGGTAGATGAGAAGAAGCACAAATGTTGGCTTTTATGTCATTGCTATCTTATTGTCACCCTCAGCCCTTATTTCTTGCATTTTTTCTTTTCTTTGTGTTCTGATGTAAGTTCTATCCTCAAGAACAGCATGCTAATAGAGGAAGAGAGTGGAGAAGTCTAGGAGTAGAGAATGGAAGTCTTAGGGAGGAAATAGCAATCCATGTTGTATTATATAGTGGTTAAAAAACTACGGACCAGGGCACCTGGGTGGCGCAGTTGGTTGAGTGTCCAACTTTGGCTCAGGTCATGATCTCATGGTTCGTGAGTTCCAGCCCCACATCAGACTCTCTGCTGTCAGCACAGAGCCCACTTTGGATCTTCTGTCTGCCCCTTCCACCCCGCTCTCTGCACCTCCCCCACTCATGCTCTCTCTCAAAAATAAATAAACATTTAAAAAGCCAATGATCAATAATATGACATAAATAAGCAACTTACCTTCTCTATCCCTTAGTTTCTTTGGAAAATGTTGGTTCTTATTCCTATATACCCTACAGAGTTTCTAGGACAAAAGCTGATAGGTAAAAGAGTCTCAAAGAAATAGGATCCAATGATACTACATAATTTTAAGTCTGAGAACATTTTATATTTTGAAACTAATCTAACATCAGAGATAGTATGGCTTTGAATCTAAAGACTATTAGTTATTATATTTTTGAGCATTAATGATTTAAGAAACTGTTTCATCTTTATAGAAGTACAGCATTGATAATATTGCTACAAAAGTATTAATACTGTAGACTCGAGATGGCTACACATTAATGTGAGGTTGAAGGTCATGTTCTGCTATCAAATCAGTTCTGAATAATTGTTATCTTTAAAGCTGTTTAAACTTGAGATTTTCATTACTAATAGAAGGAAGAAATTGAGGAAACATTGTGCTTACAACATTTCTGAAGCTTTTCAGAGGAAGCAGCTGTGGTTTCTTTAGAATCCCAAGTCTATTATGCAGGTTAGCAGTATATTTTATAATGAGTTCTAGACCACCTGCCTTTCTGAGAAATTAATATTGAGATGAATTTTTTTGGTCTTCTTTCTGTCCTAGTGCCTATGTATAAGGTTTTCCTATTCAGTGAGTTTGGGCACCCCATAAAAATGTTCATTCAGTGTTGTTCAACTATAGATGATTATTTTTAAAGACATTGTCTAAATGTGTTTTCAACAAATTCTTGGTGAGTTTTGAGATTGAAACATACACTTCTCTAGTAAAACTGTCAGCAGATAATGTACATACAGTTTTACTTTAAGGTAGTAAATACTCATAATGAATAAAAAAATGTTTCAAATGAATTTGACTATAGTTTTAAACCATTGTAACTTCAAAATATTGTTTTAATTATTTTCCTTCTTCTCACCCTTACAGGAGTTTCAGAGGGGAATCAATGGATTCAGGAAGCAGTAGGAATTTGGAAAATATGGTGAATAGGGACTATCCTGATCAGCTTGTCCCAAAGATAAACACAAACAAGAAAATGTCTACCTTAGCAAACCAGCCACGCATCCTGGAAATGTCACAAGAAGTTAAGAAAAGTTGTGGAGATAAACAGGTAGAAATCACAGTCGAAAGAATAAAAATAGCAAAGAGCATCAAAGAAAAACAAAGCAAAGATTTAGAGAAAGTGGCCTTTAAAAGAAAGGCAGAAAATGAAGAAAAGCCAGCTGGAAAAAAAGAGGCAAAGATAATGGAACTTGACAGCACGTTGATCACCTTGCCTCTGCCTCACATCCCCTTAAAAAATATCATGGATGTGGAGGCGAAGTTGGTCTATGTCGATGAAGAGGGCGTGAACTATGAGTTTGTAGAGTCCTTCATGTCTACTGGGATTCGACCATCATGCCAAGCTGCTGAAATTGCAGACCCTTTGCATGTAGCTAATTGCAACTTTCTACCTCAGATTGACAAATGGCTTCAGGTAACCTTAAAGGATGCCAGCTCTTGCTACAGACAAAAGAAATACGCCGTGGCAGCAGGACAGTTCAGAACAGCATTGGAGGTATGGGATTAAAGAATATGTAGATTGGTGACAGGAAGCTGTGAAATGGAAAGTGTGATTACATTGAGCAGCTCTGATCATACTGTAATAAACAGTGATCATGGAGTTAAAATATTGAATGATTTCAGGATTATACAATTTCCAGTTTACATAAAGCAAATAAGATATGCCTGCAAATTATATGCCTGTGTGCACTTGACATATAGAAAGCACCCCAAAAGCAAACTTCATGGTTTTTCTTGGTTAACAAACTCTGCAGTGAATGGCAACATATAAAAATGCAGTTGGTTTTGTAATTTAGATGTATACCTATAAAAGCCATAAAGTTTTAATACAGTGGTGGTGGGTAGAATATAGATTCCCTCTCTAGAAATAGGCAGTTAATGAGTATATGAATTTCCCCTTTTGATATGTAGTTTTCATGATTAAATGTAACCATCTTTATGGTTTAGCATGGGCTGATAATTTATGCCTGATACTTATTAAAAATAAAATAACACCATTTTACTTTATCATCAAATTTTACTTTCCTTCCCCTTCTAGTGAGCTTTATAAATATTTATTTTTCCTCTTTGCAAGCAGGTAAATTGGTCAGTATTGTTTGTGGCATAAAGAAATAGCCCATGGACTAAAACAAACTTGGAAATCACCACTAAAACACAAAATTTGTGGTGGGAAAAATTGTTCCAACTTATGACTCACTGAACCTATAAAAGGACCAAAGTATGTCACTAAAAGTCCTACTGGCCTGACAATATTGGTGACTGCATATTTCATTAATTACAAAAAAATTGTAATGCATTCTACATGTGCTTGGTGGCCACTAGAGAATAAAAAATGGTTTAAAACATGGTCCTTTTCCTCTACCAGTCTGGTGAGGGAGACAAACAGGTAAACCAGTTAAAAAGAGATAGCATAAGGGGCGCCTGGGTGGCTTAGTTGGTTAAGCGTCCGACTTTCGCTTAGGTCATGATCTCGCGGTTCGTGGGTTCCAGCCCCGCGTCGGGCTCTGTGCTGACTGCCAGCTCAGAGCCTGGAGCGTGCTTCAGATTCTGTATCTCCCTCTCTCTCTGACCCTCCCCTGCTCATGCTGTCTCTCTCTCTCTCTCCTAGGAAAAAAAAAAGAGAGATAGCATAAAAGGGCCATGGATCTACCATAAGACAGGAAGAATGAGCAGAAGTTAAATGTGACGTGTTTGTGATAAAGATTTAAAGAGCCAAGTATTATTTATACTGTTATTTGCAGGCTAAAATGACTGCATTTACAATGAGTTATTAACGACTAACATCAGACAATGGTGCCCCTAAATATTTTTTAAAAAAAACTATTTAAGCTTAGAAAAAGAGGCCCAAAGAGATATGAAATGATGAGGTAATGTACAAATAGATGCATCTATAAATATTTCTGTTTTCACAAAGGGTCATCTACACAAAGAAGGGAAGAGTGATGCATTATGTAAACTTGTGAACTATGGAAAAAGTGCCCCCAAATTAAGTTATTCACAAACCACTGAGAGTCCTATGCTGTACTTTTGAGTTAAAGACCAGAGCTTCTGGCTGAGGAAAGGGCGCTGAAGAAAGGCTTCAAGATCCCTGAGATCTTTTGCTTAGGGCCATTTTCAGCTAAAATTGTTTTTTGAGGGTGGGGGGGAGCAGAGTATAATTTTGAATATGAAGAAAAATAATCATTTTGGAAATGAAAAAAAAGCATAAAATAAGAAAGGATATCAACCTCAAATTAAGTCTAGGTAGAAGCAAAAGGTATCCGTACTAACTGGAAGAAAATATCTGGTTTTCCCATAAAACCCAATCAATGTTCAAAATTATAAAATCTGAATCAGGTTTTAATGACCCCGAGATGTAATTATTCTAGAAAATGCTTTTGTTCTGACTCTCCCTTGTACACAATCTCTCTCTCTCTCTCTCCCTCTCTCTCTCTCCCTCCCTCTCTCCCCCACCTCTCTCCACTACCCCCCCCCAAAGGTTTTAGGAAAGTGTTGGATGCTGACACTAATTACTGGTAATTAACAAAGGTAATTATTTTGAGACCAAAACTTAGCTTAGACATCTGGCCTAGCTTTTGTCAATTATCTTGGGAGTTAACTTTGAAATTTTACCTAGAACGTCTCTAATAAACCAAAGCTTCTGGGAATAGAAAAGGTTTTTAACCTCTTTAATCCTTTCTTCCCCTAAATTTAACTTCCTCAATACCAACTGTTCTTAAGTATTATTTAATAGATCTCTTCCTTTTCATTATGTCCTAACATGGCTTTGAGTAGGGTAGGATGGATGGCAGAGACCAAGACATAAAGATCACACCTGAAAGATAGGTGTACCAACAAATATTTGAGTGTACATAGTGTAGGATTAGGTTTGGCCACAAGTGACAGAAAACTCCAAACAACAGTGTCTAAAGCAAGAGGGTTTATTTTTATTTTTTCACATAAATGTGCATAGTCAAATGCTGGTATGGTATGATCATTAGAGTACCACATTCTATTTTGTTCCTCCGGATGTGATTTGACCTCATGATCTAAAATGGCAGCTCCAGTTGGTGTGGTCATATGCACATTCTAACCAGCCAGAAGGGGATAAAGGAAGGAGAGAGATACACTGTGTCCCCATACACTGGGTCTCCATGAGCACAATTCACAGAGGTTACACACATGATTTCCATTTTTCCCCCATTGATTCAAATTTAGTCATGTGGCCACACAAACCTATAAAGGAGGCTGAAAAATGTGGTCCTTATTCTGGATGGTCGTAACACTCAGGGGTTCTGTTACTGAGGAAGAAAGAGAATGGATATTGAAGGATAACTAGCAACTTTCTGTTCGAGTGCTTATTACGTGGGAGGCATTGTGAGGCATACAGAATGCTTGCCAAATGGGTGATACAAAGTCAGTTATAGGAGTATACAGAAGACTGGTTGTGGTTAAAGATAGAACCACAAAAAAGAAACAAAAATAAAAACTAGGGAAAGGCTCTGGAGATTTGTGAATATTTATTGACATGATAATTTTCCAAGCCTCTAATAACTCCATTAGGAATATTCTACTTATATGTTAGTTTCCTTATACTCTTGACAAAGTATTAGCTCCTTTTGTTTTCATAACATGGTCACCCATTAGATAGGCAAATTTCTGATAATGTTTTAGAATGATTAAGATGAAATGGTAAACAGTGATTCAAAAGACAACAATTTAGCTTCCAAAAAGCAGTCAACTTTAATCTTTTAGGATTGCAAAACATAGGCATTTATTTATTTAATTTATTTAAATGGGATAGATGAAATAATTTATTTTTATGCTTTATTTTTACTATATAAAGTTGAACCAGTTGTGTAGGTGAGATTAGTGCTTAGTTCTGTGACCAACTCATCCATCTTTGTTAAGTTTTATTAAAATCAGTCATTATTTGCTCTTGTGTTTATATTCGCATCAGAAGACATACCAATAGGGCAAAAGGTAGAAGCTGAAGATAAAAACACATTCATATTAAATCACATTTGTATGCCTAGATCCTAGTCCCTGTAATTTTTAAAGGACAACTATTATTTTTTTTTCTAAGTAATCAAAGACTTGGTGATAAAGAGCACAGGAAATCATTTTGATAAAATACAAATCTTTGCTTTGTAGGCAGATTACTTAGAAGGTAAAGGAGGAAAACCTTTCACAATCTCTTATCAGGGACAGACCAATAGTCCAAGAAAACTTTGCCCTTCTGGCAGATGAAAGAATATTAAGTTCTAGTTTTTCTTAAGGATAAGTACATTAATCATATCAAAGCTTATTGAAAAAACTTATAACAAATTAATTTTATCCAGCTTGATTACACATAAAATTACTTTCCCAAGTTTCCTTCTTCATAATCCTTCTACAACTTTTTTAGATTCAGATTCTTTCCCATTTTTTTTTCTCTTTTCTACATCTGTTTAGGATAAAATCCCCCTTTTTCCTCAACAAAAATGCATCTCCATTCTTCTACCTTCTTTTATTTTACACATCTTACTTTACTTGCATACAGAGATATTTCCCATATTATTTCGATGAGCTTTAATTATATATTAGAATTTTCATTCTTTTTATAACCTTCAGTAAACCATTAAGAGAAATAAGCCCACCAACCCAATCAAAGGAGGGATGCAGAGACTCTGAGCACAGTGAACCAGGCTTTAATCACCGTTCTTTCAAGAGTGGGTGTCTCTGATGACAAGCACACTGGGGCAGTTACAGCAGGCGATTTATTTCCTAGTGTGCAAGTCCCTCCCCTGATTCCTCTTTGGCTGAATACTACAGAGGTTACGGCCTTACTGAGAATTTGCCTATGTCTATGTAAGGCAGAAAGTACTCTGATTGGAACAAATGTACATTCCTTAAGGTGAGGCAGAGACTTCAGTTCTTGGGTGCATGCTCATTGCAAGGCCTGCAAAATGGAGAGGGGAAGAAGAATCAGGAAGTGTCTTAAGGGTTTGGGACTCCATTGTGGGGGGGTGGTTTCATAAATATTTCCAATAGGTTGTAAACCTATTGTTAACTAGACAGCACAGCTTTTATTTGGTATTTCTGAAAATCAATCATCTCACTTCTCACACAATTGTGAACTATTACATTATCATTCTTTTTTTTTTTTAATATTTTTATTTATTTCTAGGAGAGAGAGAGACAGGGTGAGCAGGGCAGGGTCAGAGAAGAGAGGGAGACACAGACTCCGAAATAGGCTCCAGGCTCTGAGCTGGCAGTCAGCACAGAGCCCAACGCAGGGCTCGAACCCACGAACCGCGATATCATGACCTAAGCGAAAGTCGGACGCTTAACCGACCAAGCCACCCAGGCGCCCCACATCAGCATTCTTTAGACTGACAAATTTACATTCTATGATTCTTAGAGACATACGCTTCCTTAGAGTATAATTTTTTCGATGTGACATAAAATACGTTTACTGATCGATCCAGATATCTTCCACTCCTTTGTAAAAAGGATAAACCTATGTTCAGTAATTAATATTTCTGTTTTATCTTATTTGGAAATGAGCTGGATATTTAATGAATTTAACTCACTTCATCGTTGAACTGAGAAAAACTTTCAGGTTTCAGGTTACTACAAAGATTTGGGGAAACTATTTGAAAAGTTTACCTAAAAACTTTTTATCCTACTTACATGTATTTTAATTTACTTGTTCTTAACAATTATGTTTACCCACAAAAACTTTGTGAGACATTCAACTAAGTCATCCTAAGTTATTTTTTTGGCCAACAAATTTCAATAGAGATAACAAGAACTTATTTGATTAGTAAACCCAGGTGGAATAAAAGTTTTATATTTAATGTGATAACACTAAAGACATGCCTTAAACTGGCTTTCATGTACTGAAGTGTATAACTAAAGATTTGCCTTAACTTAGCTTTTATTTACTAATGATGAATCCTATATCATGTGAACTTAAGAATCATTTGGATTAATTTCTATATTTCTGAGAGTTTTAGAATACCGGATCTTTATAAGCACTTGCCTTCAAACCAACTAAATAGAGCTCTTTTACAAATTATTTTTGGCAATACCACTCAGCAGTAGAAAAATAACACATATCTATACACATATTTAGATACATAAAAACGTACAGACACAAACAGAGACATTACAGTTTCATTTAAAAATCTTAGCCATAAAACAGGCACAATAATGTAAAATTCATTAGTTATAAAAGAACATTTGGAAAAAGTTAAGTTTTTCTGCTCAGACGGCTAACACTTTTTCTACTAATGTTTATGGAGAAGACACTTAAGATTTGTATCTGGCCTTGATGAGTAAACTCATGGAAGCTGTGGAGCAGTTTGTATTAAAAAAAAGAAAGAAAGTCTTCCCCCCGCCCCCCCACTCCGTTGTTTTTCCCTTCATTAAAAGTTACCTCCCTGAAGTTTTTACTTAAAGGAGATGGCCTCGATAAGAGTCTATATCTCAAAGGCACAGAGAAAAATGTAAGTTCCTCCAAGAAGGACTTTGGTTTCCTAAGGCCAATATTTACAAGTCTATTGAGATAAATAGGGGAGATTTTAGGATTGGTTAAAAAGGGATGGATGAACCCTGAGCTGCCCCTAGAGCTGCATTTTTATTTTTGCAAAGAAATGTAAGATAAGGACAGTTGTTCTCAATTCCTCAAAGAATTGGCTCACAGCCTAAATGACACCAAGGGTTGATCCACCAATGTAACTATATTATCTTTTTCAGTAAATTCTTTTTCAAAGCTCTCTTTTTTTCTTTCTCACTGGTATATAGCTTAGGGGAGGAAGCCTTAAAAAAAATCTTATCAGACTCTGCAATTGGGCCATTTTTTTTTACCATAAAGCTACTTTGTAGCTGTTGGCCAAGACAAACAGTAAATATTTCTGACAGGACTGAACAACCCCTTGGATTTAAGAGGTGTCCTCAGATAAGGTGCAAAAGATATTTTTATTTCCTCTCTCTACCCAGTACTACAGACAGAGAGCTGGGAAAGCTGAATCTAGTAAGAATTCTCACTCTTCGCTGGCTTCTGGCTGCCAGTTTTCCAGGATCCCATCTGCAAATTCTGACTGGGGTTTAAAATGGAGAATGTAGCTCTGATATTTACTAGGATTTGGCAAGGCTTTCATTAAATTTATTTTTAGTTTCCTTTAGCTGTTTAAAGGAATAATGTAGCAGTTTACCAGAAAATCAGTGGGTCCCATAATTTGGGGAGGAGGCCATATGGGGGCCCTCCTTTGAAGGTAGATAATGGGAGCATTTGACTTGCTATTAAAGAATCTGTATAAGGCCTTTGAGGACAACCTCTTTTCCAGTGTCCCAGTTAATTACAACTAAGACACCAATTTCTGGGCCAGTGTTTTGATGATGGATCCTAAGGAGGGTATAATGGGGGAGGCTTAAGTGTTAATTTAGGAATCTTCTGTGTCTTTAATTTTTCATTAACCTTTTGCAACAAAACTTTCCATGAAGTCATTTTGGAGTCTTGAAGCCTTTTGGAGCCTCTATTTAACAGATAAGGTAGGTATCCTATTCTGTTCATTTGATTTGGGAGGTCTAGCTTTTAAGAGTGCTTCTTAAACAATCTTATCGAAATAAGACCGCAATGGCCATTGAAATTCTAGGTTGTTTTTAGTAAGACTTTGCAACTTTTCTAGATATTTATAGCTGTTGGGACCATAGTTACTAAACATAAGACTGGCATACCAGAAGATGGCACACTTAACTCTTCGGAATTTAAAGATATTGTTTTTATCATTCACTCACTCACTCACTCACTCACTCATTCATTCATTCATTCATTCATTTTAGCTTAGCCTTTGGGTCTCTCAGAGCCAAAATAATACCTGAAAAGGATGTGCCACTGCGTTAAGAACTGTGTGAAGTTTTACAGTGTACCTCGTTGCACGGAAATGTTCTTGAGCTTGGCAGATGGCCCTAGTGTCAATCTAACCCATTCTGGATAACGAACATGGGAGACTTTGAGTTACAGAATGAGTGCTCTAACAGCCTTAAGTACTTGACTCTCACCCACCAGTTTTTGGTTTTTTTGTTTTCTGAGATTCCCATTTTTAGCAGTTAGCCTTTACCTCATGTGCACATTAACATACTGGCAATAACCAACAAACTGGGGACTGGGGAAAGGATTGAACCTGCAGACTTCAACAAACTGAACTAGGAATTCCACAAGAGTGCGGAAGGGCAAACTGCCACTAACAGTTCCCACATAGATCTTGGAGATACGATCATGGGCTGGGGGTTAGCTGTTACTGCAGAGTGACCAAGAGAAGGCTCTGCATGCACTACCAGCAATTCCCACCATGGAACCTGAGACAAGGGAGAGGATTGGACCAACAGATCCCAAAGAATAGGGGCTGTGGACTGATTCCAAATAAATGGAGTACTGCAGTTGCCACCAGCGGTTCCTAACATGGAATCTGAGGAAGGATTCCAAACAAATGGGGAACTACAGGCTAAACCATCAGGAGTTTCCCACATGGAATCTGGAGACAGAACCAAGGGCTGGGTTTTTTTTACTCAAAGACCTGGGAATTTGCAGACTGAAAAGCCAATTAGATTTGGAAAGCTCAGAACCAAGAAGAACTTACCCATGGCCCTCAGAAATAGTGAGAAAGATATTGGACTCAAAGAATGCTCACAGGGTATCAAGACTGTGTTTCTCATTGTCCTTGAAGCTGTTGAACATCTCTCCTTTAATCTTGCTGCTGCCACCAAATCTGTTAAAACAAAAATCCAAGTGAGTAAACTTAAAGATCTAATTTTATTCAACAGTCCATGAATCTGGCACCATGCTATCTAGCAGTAGAAAGGAGCTCTGAAGGGTTGTATGAAATGAAAGGTTAAAAAAAAACTTTAATGTTTATCTTATTTTAAGAGAGACAGACAGAATGAAAGCAGGGAAGGGGGAGAGAGAGAGAAAGAGAGAGAGAGATAGACAGAATCTGAAGCAGGCTTCAGGCTCTAAACTGTTAGCACAGAGCCTGACACAGGGCTAGAACTCACAAACTGCAAGATCATGACCTGAGTCTCAGTCGGACACTTAACCAACTGAGCCACTCAGGTGCCCATAAGATCGAAGATTTTAAAAGGCAGAAAAGGGACAGGAAAAGGAAATTATTAATAAAGAATGCATTATTTCAGGCAAGCTCACCCTTCGGGAATAGAAAGGTTCATCAGGTGGATTATACAAGTAGTGCTACCAGCTAATTTCATGTTGACTGGTTAAAGGTTTTATTTCTGGAAAACGAACCTGCAGTTCAGTTAGGTATTAAGTCTATTTGCTGACATGGAGCTTAGCACAACTAATTCCTTTTGGGGCTTGTTGCGTCTTTTTTAACAGATGGGACTATTATTCTTTTTTAAAAATGGTGAAAATATCCTTCTGAAAAATAGTGAAAAATGAAAAGCCAGGTGATAAGACAGGTTGAGCAACTTGCTCAAGGGGCAACAGCCAGAAGTGGTAGAATGGGAAGCTGAACTAGGGTGGTTTGGTTCCCCAATTCCCCCATATACCTTGCTACCATGAGTGTGAGTTTGTTGGAAATACAGAATTTAGGATTGTGTCAGACGTACAGAATCAGAATCCCAAGTGATCTTTGCAAACACTGTAGTTTGAGGAACATTGTACTCTGGTATGTGAACATTAACAGATTTGTCCTTCAATTAAAACTTTACAGTTTGGTTCTTAACTTAAAATGTTCTATGCCCTCACTAATTTCATAAGAAAGAATTTCTTTATAAGCAGTTTTTTCTATAACAATGAGTTAGAAAATTTGGATTCCAATTTGAGTTGGATTTCAAGGCCCTGTAAAATTTTTTCAAAAACCCCAAAAGTTGGTGGTGGAAGAAGAACATTACAAAAATTACAATCTATTATCATCATTATTTTATAAAAATATGGAGCAGTTTAACACCAAAGAGATAGAAAATAGAAAGGGCACATCTTCAGAATGAAGGATGTTTTAAAAATAAGTTATATGTTAATTTTATGAAAAGTTAACTAAATTGTCTGTATTTTTTATTTCCCCATGGGTCAGTAAAGCACTGGTCTGGGAACCAGCTTTTGGGAATCACTGTTCTAGAACACATTCCCTTTATGGTAAATGGTAGGTATCGTGGATGATTGAACCTGCACCAGGGCTTTCTTATGCGATTACTTCCAGTGTAATGGAATTTGGTATGAGGCAGGTCCATTTTGGAGCCCATCCAAGGGGGTTTATTTAATGAAGTAGCAAAGATATCTCATTATAGGGCAGCCTCACCTATAATTGCTCTGCTGAGAATAATTCTGTAGCAAATCTCTAGGGCATGAAAATGTGGACATCCCAGAAAGCTTAATTTAAATCGATTCTAACACACATAGTTCTTAGTGCAATATAATCAAGAAATGGAGAGTTCACCAAATTCTGAGTGCCTGTGCCTGTACTGTCTTTTTAAAGATATGAGTATTTGCATATGGATCCAGTGTACATTTCTTAACTCCTGCTGGGATCCAGACCCTTTTATTCAGCTAAGCATCACAATAACCCTCAAAGACAGATATTATCGACATCATTTTACAGAATAAAGAAACGGATACTCTAAAACGTAAGGGGGAAAATGCCACACTAGTTTCTGGCAAGGCTGAGATTGAATTTAGATGCCCTGATTTCATATCTGGAATTCTTGACACTATTGCTTTTCACTTAAAAGTCTATAAAAATTGTATAGGAATATTATTAAAAATGTAAATTCTTAGATGTTACATCTATGCTGGGGCACAAGATGCCTTTTTTCAAATAAGTTCCCAAACTGTTGGTCTAGGGACCTTTCTAAGTAGCAAGGATTTATTCCACATCATGATCATAAGTGCTTGCCACTGTCCCTCTAGCACGTTAGCGGCACACGCTTCTATAGGTCTAGCTTGCAGAGCCATTGGTGGCGATGAGGGTCCAGAGCTGTGATGAATTTGGAGTCAGATTATCTGTGATGCTGCTTCTGGTTCCTACTTACTGTGTGACTTTGAGCAACATCCTTAACTCCTTAGAACACTGTTGAGTAGGAAGGATAACAACTAATGCCCAGCTACAAAGTGCTTTCATATAGGATTACTTGTTGAAAATGTGATGAACCCAAAATTCATGTACAAGTTGCCTTTGTATTTTTCAAGTGCCTCATTTTCCTGAACAGTATGTGTATGTAACTTAAAACTTTAGTGCCCCAAAGGATTTTGCCTAATTTAGTGTTTATCATCATTGTTTTAATCCATATACTTGTTTTCCCTTTAACATTAAATATTTATAGTCTTCTTTTAACAGTATTTAAAATTCAATCAAAGCAAGGTGCCAAAATAATGTATGTTTTCTACTCTGTTCCCCCTTTTAGAACCAGTGATCTGAATCAAACATGATTTTGAACTATTAACTAAATTCTGCAAAAATATAAGCTTTCACCTAAATGCACAAATTGTTATGTTGGAAATATTTCATCTTTCTTAGTTGTCAGAAATAAACTGGCTGTTGAAACTTTATATTCAGGATTAAACATTTCAGCTTTTTAGCTTGATTGTTGCCATCTTTATTCTGTTCAGGGACACTATAACTAATAAGTAATGATAAAAGATATTTTTATATGTTAGGAAATTTACATAGCAGAAAAACACAAAATAAATGCCTCTCTTAACCTCAAAAATAAAATAATAAAATAAGATATATCCCTACAGTTAAACACTAGTTAAATATGACATATCTCTAGAAAAGCAGGATTTGCCTTTGTAAGAAAAGAAGTATATTAATACCACTAACGTCTAATAGCTGTTTCAGCCTATCATAGTCGTAGGTGCAGAGGATACAAATACAAGGTAAGTTCCTGTCCTCAAGAAGACAGAATAAGGGTTTGCTGCCCGCCTTCCAAGACTTCGTTTGCATTTTCAGATTATATATTTTTTTTAATTTTTAGTTTAGTGTGTTATTGTTTATATCTTAAAAGATTTTTTTTGAAATGTTTTCAAGGTGGATATTTAGAAGGACTTCCTACATATTTCAGTGTAATTTAATTAACTTCAGGGGTCATTAATCCCACCCTAGGGGAGTCAGAAAGATTAAAAGATTTAAGCTACAAAGGGAGGTTGACGATTGGTTAAAGGAACACAATATATTTCAGGCTGAGTATTATTAAAAAGATATGGAAATTGGAAAAATGTCTAAGGTCACTCCTCAATTTGATGGACCCTGTTACTATCGAGGCTTTTGATACAGATGGTTCTGGCCCCCCAGTGTGCCGGAGTCATCTGACTCCTGCTAAGCCCCGCTTTCCTTTACTGCATCAGAGCAGCCATTGACACAGCAAGGAAAGGAACAGCAATTCTCATCTGCACACAGCACTCCTAACATAAACTTGTGGGGAGGCGTGTGGAGAGAATCAAACGGAGAGAAAGAGTGAGAACGAGGACGAGTGAGGTTCACAAAGAGCCATTTGCTATCTCGGAGAGAACTGAGTTGTCCCCTAGTGGTAGAGCATGGGGGAAGGGGTGAGTAGGAGCAGTTTCAATAAAGAAGACTACACTATAACTTATATCACTTTACACATGAAAGAAGAATCACATTCCATATAAAAATATTATGAACCTTGTAGATTCTTTTTTTTTTTAAATTTATTTATAGGAGAGAGAGAGAGACAGCGTGAGCAGGGGAGTGTCAGAGAGAGAGGGAGATACAGACTCTGAAACAGGCTCCAGGCTCTGAGCTGGCTGTCAGCACAGAGCCCGACGCGGGGCTCGAACCCACGAACCACGAGATCATGACCTAAGTGAAAGTCGGACGCTTAACCGACTAAGCCACCCAGGCGCCCCAGAACCTTGCAGATTCTTGACATAAATACAACATTATTAGGGAGGCTATTAAATACATATATATAGATGTCTAACCCCACCCTCAGAGAGTCTGATACAATTGTGCGGGTCAGATAATGAATGACCATGCCTCGGGCACTGGTATTTTTAAGTTCACAAGTAATTTTATTGAACAGAAAATACCTGAGAACTGCTGAAAACTTTCTTCCCCTTTAAAATCACCTATAATAGGACTTAACCTGTGTGTGTGTGTGTGTGTGTGTGTGTGTGTGTGTGTGTGTGTTTAAGGGAATTAAGAGATAATATCTGAATATTCTAAAGCTGTTAAAAAGCATCAAGAAACTTTTAAAAATCATTGTTATGAAAATGTGTTCCTTGGAAATCTACACTTAAATAGTCCTCTCCTCTTTACTTAAAAAGCGAATTCACTTGATGAATACTTTCCTGTTAACACTAAGAAATACATTGATACTTAACTCCAGTCAGTGGTTAGTTAGTATGTGTCTCTGAAATACCAAATTTATCCCCTCAGTGACGATCTCATGAAAAGCAATTTATGAATCCATGAGAAGCTGAGGGAGATCTTTCCATGAACAGGATAATTTCCACAGTTTACAAGTGTTATGGATTTGATTCAAATGACAGTAAACATCAATGTAGCTTTTAAATATAGTTAACATTGTGTACATTGCTGCGACTCAAAACTCAGTCACAGAAGTTTTATACAAAGCTAAATTATGCTTCAATTGGATGATTCCATGTTGAGGTTTATACACACACACAATGGTGATTCTTATCCAAATATTAGATAATGTTGCCCAACATTTTTCCCACTACCAACTTTCCAAATTTATTGCAAGGCTTCCAAAGCCAAATAAAGTTAAA